GAGCCTTGTGTGTATAGGAAGGTAAGTGGGAGCGCTATCACCTTCTTGGTGTTATATGTGGATGACATCCTAATCATTGGGAATGATGTAGAAGTGCTATCTACAGTAAAGACTTGGTTATCTAGACACTTCTTCATAAAGGACTTAGGGGAAGTATCCTATATCTTAGGAATTCAGATCTATAGAGATAGATCCAAGATGATGCTTGGCTTGTCTCAATCCAGGTACATAGACACCATTGTCAAAAAGTTTGGTATGGAAAATTCCAAGAGAGGTCTCATACCGATGAGATATGGGATATTGATTTCTAGGAGTATGTCCGCAAAGACTCCTGAAAAAAGGATGAACATGGATAGGATAACCTATGCCTCAGCAATAGGATCTATCATGTATGTCATACTATGTACCAGGCCTAATATAGCACATACTCTGAGTGTCACGAGCAGGTATCAGGTGGATCTAGGCTTGGAGCACTGAAAATTAGTAAAGTGTATCATTAAGTACTTGAGAAGAACTAAAGATATTTTACTTATATATGAAGGTAGTAGCCCCCGGGTTGAAGACTACATGGACTCGAGTTTCCAGTCTAATGTCAATGATAGCAAGTCAAATTCGAGGCATGTATATACCCTGAATGGAGGACCAATATGCTGGAAGAGTTCTAAGCAAGATACTACTGTTAACTCGACCACAAAGGCAGAGTACATTGCTGCAGCAGAGGCAGCAAAGAAGGGAGTCTGAATGAATAAGTTTATCACAGATATGGGAGTCGTACTAGGTAGTGAGGAGCTGATTTCCTTATATTATGATAACTACGGGGCGATTGCTCAATTGAGGGAACCTCGACCTCATCAGAAGTGTTCTAAGGATGTTCCAACTTATTAGAGAGATCGTGACCCGACGAGATGTACTAGTGGAAAGAGTTACATCTGAAGATAACATCGCTGATTCATTGATAAAGTCATTGTCTCAAATTGTATTTGAGTGTCACAGGGGTCTGATGAGGATCAGACACATAGGCGATTGGCTTTAGGTCAAGTGGGATATTGCTAATCATAGGTGCCCTGCAAGCCAATCACGTGAGTGATGGTATGTGTGACTTGACACACAATCTTTTTGCTTATTATTATTTGATATTTTATCACTTTATATTGATTGTTACATATATGCATATATATTGTGATGTTCATTGATCTATGCAATAAGAATCAGATTGTGATGAGATCATGATAATGAGACTGATTTGCCTTTAAACATATACCCTAAATAATTCTGGTCATAGGTTACTCGAGAGGGACATCGAGATAACCAAACATACTAGTGTATTGTATACCCGTCCATATGATAGAGGCAGCTGGTCTCATAGCTGCTCGTGTGGGGACACTAAGGATATAGTATATGTGCTCATTAGAGAATGAGTTCACTAATTGATTCGCTTACGGAATACTGGATGGTTGATGATGTCTTATTGTCAGACAACGATTCCGTAGTCCTAGTAGTGTATCTGGTCCTTAGATATGAGACACCAAAGATGTCATGTATTAGTACTCCACTATTTGATATCGAACTTATAGGTTTGGAAGTTCTAAATCTAGTATAGTTAGTTATTGTGAGTGACAGCTAACCTTACAAGGGCTATTGAGTGTCGATAGAGGATCATCCGCTCTTGGTATCATAAGAGAAATATCCTATATATTCTTGCTCAAACAAATTCTTGGTCAAGGTTATTCGAATTGAGAGAGAAAGAGTTCTCCGGGAGAATTCGATTAGAGCGAGACTCAAGGAGAAACTGTATTGGCTTGACAGCACCAAGCCTGGTATATGGTATTTGGGATATTAGATGGATGAGAGACTATAAGTACACGGTAACTGAGGACAGATAGGTCTATAGGATTGGATTCCCCTATATCGTCTAGGGACTATAGTATAGTGGCCTAATATGTCCGTAGTCGATGAGTCGAGTGAATTATTATGGATATAATAATTCACTGAGCTAGAAGGAGTTCTGACAAGTATGACTCATGGCCAACTCGATATTGAGCCTAGAGGTTCGAATATGAGATATCCGCTGGAGCCCCTATCTTATTGGATATCCAATAAGCTCTTGAATTATTAGATCCCATGGATGAGAACTAATAAGAGATTATTGGGTAGAGACCCACTAATCTAAGAGGCTTGGGTAATTAGTTAGAGATCCAATACCCAATAAGGCAGGATTCATTAGGGTTAACTGTGGGTCTCTATAAATAGGATAGAACTAAAGACCCATAGGCTAGGGGCTTTTTAGTAGCCACCTCCTATTCTCATCTCCCCTTCTCCTCCTCAGATAGTAGGACTAGAGATTTGAGGAGCGTAGTTGTAGCCCTACTGTGTAGATCATTGCTAGAGAGGAGGACGCTTGACCTCCTTCATCCACTCCTATAGATCTACAGGAATTCAGGGATATACGATCTCCCCAAGTAACACAACTATCTTTCTGACATGCAGTTTTTTATTTTACGGATTTCGTGCACCAATCTTCGATGACGACAAACACATACTGGGAAATTTAGGATTTTTGTTTTATGTTCTTCCGCTGCGCATGTGATGTTGCTCCTAGATTTTCCAATACCAATCACGTGAGTGATGGCACCTGTGACATACTACGATGATCTCTTTTCTTATTATTATTGACATTTTATCACATATTATATGAATGTATATTGTGATGTCCTTGGATCTGTGCAATGAGAATCACAATAATGAGATCACAATAATGAGACCGATTCGCTTTTAAACACATATCTGAAATCATCCCGGTCATAAGTTACTCAAGAAGGACATCGAAATAATCGGATAGACTGGTGCGTTGTATACTTATCCACATGATGGTGGCGGTTGGTCTCATAGTTGCTCGTGTGGGGACACTAGAGGTATAATGTAAGTGCTTATTGGAGAATAAGTTTATTGATTGATCCATTTACGGAATGTTGGATAGTTAATAATACCTGATGTCAAATAACAATTCTGTAGTTATAGTTGTATGTTTGGTCCTTAGACTTAAGACACCAAAGATGCCTTATTTAAGTACTTCATTCTTTGACGTCGGACTTACAAGTTTGAAATTCAGATCTAGTACAATCGGTTCTCGGGAATGGTAGCCAACCTTATGAAGATAATTATGTGTCAATAGAGGATTATCCACTCTCGGTATCGTAAGAGGAATATCTCTGATATGCTCGTTCAGATAAAATCCCTAGCTAGGGTCATTTGGATTGAGAGAAAATAAGTTCTCTAGGAGAATCCGATTAAAGCAAAACTCGAACAAGATTTCGTATGGACCTGACATTACCATGCCCAATATACGATCTCTAGGATATTAGATGGATGAGGAACTATAGACACATGGTAACTGTGGACAAACAAGTCCGATGGATTAGATCCCCCTGAATCGTCTAGAGACTATGACATAGTGGCCTAGTACAACCATAGTCGATAAGTCAAATGAATTATTATAGAGATAATAATTCGCTATATTAGAAGGAATTATATGTTAGAAGGAGTTTTGATAGGATCGTCAGAAGTGCGGGTATGAGATATTCGCTAGATAACATCCAATTGGATAATTGGATAAGTGGATGAGATCCAACTAGATAGAGATCCAACTAGATAATTGGATAGAGATCGAGAATGGGATATAGCTAGATCTTGTAGTGATTTGAGGAGCATCGTTAAGTGCTTCTTCATCCATTCCATCGGATTTGAAAATTATGGGGATATACGATCTAGTAATAGTTCTAACATGATACATATAGTTTTTCGGTTTTACAATTTTATCATGCACTAATCGTCGCACAACGATCTAGTACTTAACTTTAAAAAATCAAATTTTATTTTTATCTTTCACTGTGCATGAGATATCGACTAGTAGATTTCCCTATGAGAGAAGAAGTAAAACAATAGTGATTGAAGCCATGTATAGCTGCTATAAAGATAACTTATAAGACAATAATGGATGACATAGGATGGATCACTTAGGATGGATCATAATGTGAGCATAAAAGTTGTCTTTATATTATTATTATATATATAATTAATATTAAAATATAAAATTTAAATAATATTAGATCTAAATTTAAAATGTGTACCTGATTTAACTAGAAGATGATTATAATGAAAAAAAGATAAGAATACAGATTTTACAAGTTTATTGATATATTTTAATATTTTTTACACGGATTTGATTCTAACTAATTATTATTTTATTTTTCTAATTTTCAAATTATTCTAAAATATAGGAATTAAAAATTTTAAAAATGATAATGAAGAAAAACTACTTGAATTTGTTAAACTCCACTCGGTGTATGGTTGTATTGGTATAATCACGAGATCTACAAGCAATTGGCAAGGTATACAAATTATTTATAAAAATATATTTTTATTATACAATCATAACTTCTAATAATTTTTATTTTTATTTTATTTTATAAGAAATATATTTTGGTGGTGATTTAATCAAAGGAACATGTCATTGTGGATGTGAAATGGAGGATGGCACCAATAAATTATTGGTTTGACTAGAAAACTCTTAGGATAAAGCATGGCGTGATAATAACTATGACAAAAATTATATGTTATTCTTTGGCACTACGAAGGATATTATAATTAAGAAAAAGATGAAGAAATTGAGAGCAAACAAGATAACGAGGACCATGACTAAGAAGAAGATGATAATGACATAGAAGTTTAAAAGTTTGGTTTATAATTTTTTATGCAATCAATTTTTATAACATAGTGAAACTATTTTATTTAAAATCTACGAAAGGAAAGGGTTACATGGTGTATGCTTTATACGCTTGATTATATTATATGGATCTTTTATCATTATGTAAATTATTATATTCTTATTGAAGTTAAGAGTTTATAATAATTATTTTTTAAGTTATATATAGATAAACATAAAATATAAATTATTAGGCATATAAGGAGGTGTATATATACTGTGCTGGGCCGGGCCCAAATGACACTTTGACGGCTATCGACCTTCCCAGATCCCTTGCGGTTTCAACAATCGACACAGATCCGGCGTCGAGAGGGAAGATGGTAAGCGAGCAACCTTCCTTGACTTGATCTCTGCAAATTTACCTTTTCTTCTTGGAATTTGTTCATGGTTTCTTTTCGATCGGGATTGCAGGTGTGCTTGGCGTGCTTGTTGCCCCTGTTCTTCATCCCCGTGGTCAACGCCTTGCCTCTGCTCTTCTATTTCATCGTCGTAAGCGCTCTGATTTCGTGATTCCTCCCGTATCACTGAGATTCCTTTGTGCGATCAATCTAACTAATGGTTCTGCAAAATTCTTCCTTTTGATCATCGGTCAGATGTCGGTCTTTATCTTCAGCAAATTAAATCTTTACATTGTGCCTTAATTTTTTGTGCTTTTGAGTCTTCATATATTAATAGTTGTTTCATAACGCATATAAAAACTTCTCTGGATCATCACATCATACCTGTTCAAGTTTACCCCGTTCGATGTTTTTTCCCGGTTACTTTTCCCAGAGATCATTTTTTCCCCCAAGTTGAACTGTGCTTCTTATAGATGCCTCACGAATGTTAGATCAGTTATCTGGCTATGAATTTTAGTTTATATGCACATACTCTTTTTTAAGTTATTGCTTGTGTTTTGGTTGTACAACAGTTGTAGCAGCTTTATTCTATCTGTGACTAAATAAGGAAAAGGTTCGTGCTTTTAGCTTATGGAACCCTGGCATATGATATGTTAATCACTTCAAATTCATAATTTCTGTCTAAGAGCTCGTCTTTAACCATGTTGATCTTTATTGTTCTTCTTATTGTTTACTTGTAAATTAATCCATATTTTTGCCTTCAATCTCCCAAGTTGGCTTCCTTACTACTCATATCACACCCTGGGTCTGCTTGCATATGTAACTTCTTTTTATTGTACCTTTGTTGGGTATTATGCATTAATGTTTAAGCTACTTTTCAGCCACCTATTGGCATGTCACATGTATGCGCCACAGGTGCCATGCAATGTTCTGGGCTTCACCCGTACCACCTTATGCTAGATCTTAAGTTTTTTTTTGTTTACTTGCTGAATTAATGAATATAAAACAAATAATTCTATTCTAGCAAATTTAAGGTGGGTGATAGATGAGGAAATTTTGAATCTACAATTCCTCTGCTCAAACTGCCAGTAGAGTTTTACATTGGTGACTGTAGAAGCAAAGTTTGAAGATTACTGCTCAAGCGACTACACATAATGTATATTATAAAACTTTGGTACATGTTGCATGAGTTGTTTGAATATATAGGAGCAGTTCATTCCACTTCTTGAAGATAATAAATTACTTTTTGTCACATACCTATTGTAAGCAATATCGTTACTGAGGTACCTATTATGTTTTGTGAAAGGCAACTTTCAAGGGATACTACCACATGTTTTATAAATCAGTTATCTTTGCCATTTCTTCCAGATGATACAAAACATTTGGTGTCCTAATTTCATCAATAATTGATTAAGTAGATTAATAGAATAAGTTTGTATCTTGATCACATTTAACAGCACTACGGTATTTAAATGGTTTGCAATAACAGTACTTTACACTAGTTATTGAAACATATTCATTGTACCATGTGGTTCTTCCTATATATCTTCTTTCAGAATAAACCATTTACTTATCTGTATGTTCTTCACATTCTTACAGGGTAAAATATATTGGCTTTTTGGCTGGGAATACAGAAAGCCTGAAAGGGTGCCACCTTCTTGTCCTTACAAGCCTGCAGTCAAGAAGATTGTTGATGTAAGCTAATGCTTCTTATTTATCAGGGAAATCTAGTACTTTTGTTTCTTTTACTGGATACCTGTTTATAATAACTTGTTGAGGAGCTAGATTTGTTTCCCTTTCTCAGTTGATGCAGAAAGAGAAACTATGACTCCTACCACTGCAAAGCCACATTGGCACAACACACGCTAGTTGTATATGCAATAAAAAGCTCTACTCTACAACACATGATATTGACGAGCTATTATGTTAATTTTGGCTTTTTAGCTTACAGCTTGTCCCAATAGTAAGGAAATTATGAAAGTCTTTTTCTTGGTTTTATAACCTAATGGTAGAACCCTAAGGTTTTATCGTAAAAGAAATAGAAGAAATGGAAGAAATGGAAGAAAAAGGGATGATCGCTTCGAGGGGATCGGCCTCCTTGATCGCTTCGAGGGGATCGACCTCCTAGGGTTTGGTCCACAGACTAGAATAATATTTCCTTCATTGATTGGTTCATTGATTGATTGATTGAAAGAAAGTGTTATATTACTATTTATAGAGTTCCACCTAGAGTCCACTAGGACTTGGACTCTTAATAATAAATAAATATCAAATAAACTTCTACCTGACTCTAACTGAACTAAACAGACTCAATAAACATTATTCAAAGCTCATAAAATAAAAGGATCCTAACACCTAACTATAATTAGCTTCCTACCAACTGGCCTTTGAGGTTATTATCTTTGGGTTTTATCTCTTAAAGTTGCATCGCATAATATTTAGCACAATCTTTTAGAGTGTTGAGAGTTTGTTGGAAGATTGATCATGGATCTGTCCGGAAGTTGTATTCTATTGCCAAGTCAGTTACCTACATATCCAATTTGGCTGGGAAACTTGTTATTTTGGTTTATCAGTGTAAAAACTGATATAAGCTTTGAAACTGATTTCTGGCATATACATGGCCTAAAGCATTTTAGGTAGCTAGTGACATGGTCTCTGTCACTTCAATTGGTGTTATACATCATGCTGGCTGGTTAGGATAACAAGTGTTCTCTTTGGCTTATTTGCTTTATAGTGTCTGAAATCAAAGGTTATCCATGTCTAGAAAAGATTATTGTGGTCAAAAGTAAAAAAGAAAAAAAAGATGCTCTCTATGGTCCCATCCTTGACTAACATATATTTCTAAGCAGAGACAAATGTTTGGGAAATAGTGTAAATTGGTATGGTTAACACTAACTGCACCTGTGTTGTTTGGAGGATTCATTTCCTTATATTTGACATCTTACATGTTCACTTGTTTATTTGAAGAAACCTGTTAAGCCTTTCCATTTGAAGATATGAGAAATATACAGTTATGCAGCTTGTTCGAAACTTCTGGAATCTCTGATAATGTAGTGGATCCAGAGGCACTGAATGATGGTTCATTTTGTTCTACTTGTATTACTCTGAAAATTTTCTTTTTGTTTCTTGAAATGCATTCATATTTTAATGCTGTAGTCAATGACAGCAGTTACTACAACATTCTAACAGCCTTTCTACCTGGGAGCTTTACAACATGTGCATGAAACATTGCTTCCTTAACCATCTGCTAGTTCTCTTTAGACTGTAAATTATGCTCTCCGTTATTGAACTATAAAAGTCGAAACATTAATGCTTTTATGGACTATAAACCCTTTTTGCATGCTATCTTTGTTTTCTACATCCACTGTATTTGACTGATCTATGTCGCAGGGCTCAAGCGAGACTGTGTCATCAGTGGAACCTCAGAGATCTGGTACAGAAGGTGACAAAAATGAATAATCATAGCCAATAGGGTTTCTTGTTGGAACGTATTTGTGTACGTTTGATGTTGCAACCTAAACTTGTGATAGATAGCATGTGAAAATAAACCTGTACCGACGGCCTGAGTAGTGCTCCTCTGTAACTTGATATCAGTGTGCTATACTCAATCCAACTGAGAGGGGAAAAAAGGTCCCCCTTTTTTCTTTCCATGGATGACAGTTGAATCAAAGCTCTGTTGTTGTGGGAAAGAAATGAGGGAGAGAATGAATGTAACTGGAAAAAAGAGTTATAGAGGATTAACATTTTCAACAGAAGTGTTCTGAAAGTTCTGTTAATGCTGTGGAATTCAAATTCACATGTCGACATGTCCACAGATTGTATTTTGTTCTGTGTATTACAAAGTGTCTTCTAAATTATTGATTTAAACTCAATTTTACACCTATTATTGCCGTCACTTTGGGGTATGATTGCTTATAGCCAGAAACCTTTACATGTGCCAGTTGCAGGTAAAAGAGGCGAACGTGATGTTTGAAAGAGACAATACGAGGAAAATATTTACAAGTACGACATGAAATGTTTTGAACATTAAATTTATTTTGTAAGTGAGATGGATCGCAGTCTTGTCCTGTGATTAACTCATTATTTTTCGTATAAATATCTATGAAAATAAAAAAAAAATTGTATTATTTTTTAGTGATAATTAAAAAAAAAGGATAGATAGGTCAATAACGGTGTCCTCATTTTTCCACCTGGATGGTCTACGTGTCATCTCTTCGTCCACGTATAACCCTGGGCGCTGATGAGCACTCCGCGGGCCATCACGTGGGACGCGTACCGACTCAATCGCTGACCGCCTTCAAAAGACCGCCACGTGATCAGCTTCTCGAGGGGCATCGACCGCGCATCTCCCGATGGTCGGAGCTGTAGCGGCGCCGCCGCTTCGCGGGCGGATCCTTACCGCGCTCCTCCCGTCTCTGCGGCTAGGGCTTCGCCCGCTCTGGTCGTTCTCTTGGGCCGATCCCGACCCCGCCTCCACTGGGTCCACATCCACGCCTCCCTCTTCCTCCTCCTCCTCTTCATCGTCACGGCGTCAGCAGGGGAAGCTCCCTCACCGTCTGTCGTCGGTCGTTGACGCCATAAATGAACGGAAACTCCCGCCTGAGCTACGCGGCCGAGGCAACGCCATCAGGTCATCGCGATTTCGATTCATATTCTTGGCATGTTCCATGTGATCGTCTAGTTCTTTGGAGTGGGTTGCATGGTTTGTTTGTTATTATTTAGGATTATCATTAATCATAGCCTAATAGAACTCCTCCAATCTTCGAGGTCGTTACTCATAACATAATAGAATTCCTGCCAATCTTGAAGGAGGGAATTAGAAGAAGACCGCAGCCCATCGGTGATATGATGGAAGGATTTTTACCTAAAATCCTTTTGTCAAAAATTCTGTTTTTATATTTTGCGTAACAAACAATGATGTGAGGACAAAAAGCCACCTTTGATGATCCTTATGTCCTCTGCTTCCATCCCCTTCACCTTGCTATAAAGAATTGGTATTCTATTATTCTATTACTTGATAAAATAATTTTCCGCTTAATATAAATCAGGAAGGAGTACACGAGTCTTCCTCTACACCTGTGTGAAGGCTAGTTTTGCATTCTGAACCCATGAGACCAATATCACTCGGAGCAGTCATACCTCTTTGCCATGCCCCTTAGTCACCTTACTTCTGCCTTGTAATTGGACAAAGTCTTCATCTATTTTCATGAGATATTTCCTGTATTTGTTCTCATTGTTATTTATAATTCTGAGCGATATTATTTTTTTGCTTGTGCCTAATCATGTACATACCAGCAATCCACTTTCTTTTATCCTGTCAATCAATTAAAATCCAGTTGAGACTGATTATTGATATGGCCTCTGTGTAACCTGTCTAGAAATGAATTCCTAGTTGGTTATTGGATGTCTAATCTTCATATGCTTATTCTGACTCCAAATTTTCAACCTTGATGAGTGTTGTAAATTTGGTGTGATGCTAATGCTCATGCCTTTCATCTCTAGCATGTGTAAAATGCAAATGGGGTTTTGAGTTAGTAAGTGCAGAATGCTTAAAATCATCATTTGACTGTTATATGATCTTTAAATTGGACATACCAACTATGTGGTCAATCGTAAGATGTCAATGACTTCTATGCATTAGTATACAACAAACAAAATCAAAGCTTTGCCTGCACAGTACCATGATTTTTCTAAAAAAATGCATGATTTCTTTTAGGAATATGAAACTGTATTTCACAGCATGGTAGAAAAACCGAATTTATAATTACATGAAAAAACTCAAACAGCACACCGGCAAGATCCCCTTCAGGCTTATCAAATAAGACCAAGCGGAGAGATCCTAACTATCATGTCTTTTATTATAAATCCAATAGTGTGGTCTTAAAATGAATATATATGTTTTTGGAATAAAGAAATGACTGTAGCTCATTTAAGAAAATAGAGGACTCAGAGACATCATACTCATCAGTCTTCTTCATGATGCTTCTGTACATAAAAAATTGATAATAGCACCAGAGAATGTGAAAGTGCAAAATATTTCCAGGGCATGGGCATCTCATGCACTTCCGTGCATGTTCGTGTGCGTGCATGTGCATGTGTGTGTGTGTGGGTGTGTGTGTGTGTGTTACCAAAGCCATGAAATCTTGTAAATCCACCTACCACAAACCTAATCCCTACCTTATTTTCTTGTCTGCTTTATTTCTCTTTCTTTTCCTTGAAGAAAATATCTCAACACCTTTGGTGGATATGGAAGTTAAGCAGTTTATATGAAAGCTCATGTGTGACAACCTGATATGTTTTGTATGCGTTGTCTTTCTTTCTTTTCCTTGAAGAAAATGTCCCATCACCTTTGGTTGATATGGAGGCTAAGCATTTTATATGAAACATCATCCGCAGCAAGGTGATACATAAGGTTCTCTTGCAGTTTTTTTTCTGCCATTATGGAACTTGGGAAGAATCAGATATTTGCATTTGTCTTATCATGATGCTATTTCTGCAATCCGATTTGAATGCATCTGATCTTTGCATTCATCTAAACATGAAGAGATTCTCTTTTGGTAATTCATATCCATCACTCCAAGTTGCTTTGTTGTTGTTGGTGTATCTCTCAGGTGTATTGATTAACTAATTTGATGCAAGAAAGGAAATGCTTGAATCAAAATAAAAATATTATTTTTCTACAAGACTTTGATTTAGGAAACATCCATCCGGTGATCAGTGTTTTCTGGTTTTGCATCAGGTATTGTATGACATTGTCACTGCTTCAGGATCAATAATTGAAAAACAAAGGAAAGGGTTTTATTATAATAGTGATAACTGTTCAGTATATAGTTCTATGTGATGTGATCATGTACTAAAGTAACTTTTATGCTATCCTCCGAATCTTGTGTGCTCGGACTTTCTGATGTTGGATGGGGATCTGATTGTTACAGTTACATATAAAAAAATGCTTCTGAGCTTTTGGATGTATTATGGTGCCCTTGGCAGGTCAGAGACTGATATAGTCAATGTTGTGGAACAAAGGATATGGCATTCCATGGAAGAAGGGCATTTTGAGAACCTACCTGGAAAGGGCCGACCTCTTAACCTCAACCCAAACCCGCATGTGGATCCTGCAGAAGACACCTTATACAGAATCCTATCAAGAAATGGTTGTGCACCTGAGTGGGTGGAACTGAACAAGGAAATTCGCAGCAAAATTACAGAGTGGAGGCTGGCCTTGAAGAAAGCTTGGGCTAACAAATCAGATCATGAAGACTCGAAGTGGCAGGATGATTCAGAGATTCTCAAGGCTCAGATGCATGATATCAATGACAAGGTGAATCATTTTAGATCCATTGTTCTTTGTCTTTCATTGATGTGTATTGACGTCAGATTTATCGAGTTCTTCCTCATCTACATATATTGCAGGTTCTTCGGTACAATTTCATTGTGCCCTTTGGCCGTCAAATGTTTGGGCTCAAGTGGGAGAAAGAAATAGCTAAGTTGGAATAACCATATATATAGAGTCATTCTGTTGTTTATGGTAGTAATGTTATCCTCCATTCTCTAGTAGATAGATCACTATTACAGATATGCAGGAATTCATCATGGATTGTTTAAGAATGTTAGTTGCTTTCACATGACGCAGCTGGAAAACAAGGGGTGTGGATGTGATCAGGAAAGGAAAAATCTCTATAGATCAAAACATGTGAAGCTAGTATTCCAAAAACATGCATCTATTTTGTATCTTTCATTGTCTCAAAGTGAATATGACCGTCAAGATCTTATGAACTCGGAAGTTTTTGTTAGCATTTTTGCTTAAGAGGCAATTCATGTATTAAAGGTAGAAAGAAAGCAATCTCTGTGTTTTCTGTTTTCAGTAGTGTTTAGCTATCTTTATTGATAAATAATTCTTGCATGTTGTCGATCGAAACTTGTGAGTGTTTGTTTTGAGAGTCACAATCAATTAGATTAAATTTTGGGCAAGTAATATTCATAAGAATCCAAAAGTGTTTAGCTATCTTAATTGATAAATAATTATTTTGTGTAAGTAATATTCATACGAATCCAAAAGTGTTTAGCTATCTTAATTGATAAATAATTCTTGCATGCTGTTGATCGAAACTTGTGAGTGCTTATTTTGAGAGACGCAATCAATTAGATTAAAATTTGTATAAGTAATATGTTGAATCTTGATGATAAAACTAAAATATGTGTTTTGAGTAATGTAGGAGTAGTTTTGATCAGGAAGGCAAATTGATTAAAGTAGGAGGAATCAAATGTTAGGTCAGAGTCGAACATGTCAGAAGATTGAACGTCGAGTCGGAGAATCGGTCGACATGTTGGCAGAATACTTCGGGCATCGGGCCTAGAAGAGCGAATATTGCGCCAAGAAGATCTGAGATGCAGAGGTCAATAAGCCGATTGGGCAAAAGACCACAAAAGATGACGGTGCGATTGGACGAAGCATTGATGAACCAATGACATACCGGACAATATAGGATTTGCTTGTAATCGATTATGTCTAGATCGAGTTAGTTTAGAGTCTAATTGAGTCGATTTAGAATGTAATTAGGTCAACTCAATTGGGGGACTAATTGGGCCTGAATCAGGGCTGGATTGGGCTTGTTGTTTGGCCCATTAAGTGTATTGTAGTAGGGTCTAGCGGTGGAACCACCCAGACTTAGTGGTGGTACCGTCTATACATAATCTTCAAGGTTGTGTCAGGCGACGGTACCGCTAGATTGGGCGGTGGTACTGCCTGAATACAGTCTTCAAGATTGTGTCAGGCGATGGTACCGTCCAAACACAGTCTCCCAAACTGTGCTAAGTATCGCTAGACTGAGCGGTGGTACCGCTAGTACCCGGGATAAGACCTTTTTTTGCTCTAAGTTTGAAGTATTTGAGGTCTAT